TGTAAAGAGCATTACAGTAGTCCAGGCGGGAGGTGACAAGGGCCTGAGTGACTGTGCGCAAAGCATCCCGGTCCAGAAAAGGGCGCAACTGGTAGATCAGGCGAACCTGATAAAACGCCCCCCTGGTCACGGCCGACAAATGGTCTTCCAGTGTCAGCCGTGGATCCAGGAGGACACCCAAGTTGCGTGCCCTCTCTGATCTGGCAGTATGGCCAGTGATGGGATTCAAATATGTGAACAACCGGTTCTCTGTGTGGATACTGCTTCCGGACGTCCATTGTGGGCCTGGGCAACAAAAAATTAGCTACCGGTTCTGCCGAAGTAGTGCGAACTGGCTGAATCCCACCACTGAGTATGGCACATCTGGAAATGAGAAGTTGCCATCAAGCACTTTTAATTGCTAGCATTTGTCTGTTAGCAATAGCACTTAGACTTATACGCCGCTTCAGTGGTGCTTTACAGCACTCTCTGAGCAGTTTACAATGTCAGCATATTGCCCCCAACAATCTGAGTCCTCATTTTATTGACCTCGGGAGAATGGAAGGCTGAGTCAACCTTGAGCCAGTCAGGATTGAACGCCTGGCTGTGGGCAGAGTCAGCTTGTAATACTGCATTCTAACTACTGCGCTACCAGGGCTCAGAAAGCTGATAACAAATGGCACTCAGGTTTGTTTGACACTTGTTCAGAGCACAAATGGCTGGGCAACCTTTGATTCCTTCAAGGTACTATATCCTGGGCATGAAATAAAACATAGCTCCAGTTTTGATGGGGGGAGGGGAGAAGCTTGAGCATTTGACAAGCTATTGACATCCTGAGGATTTCTCTTTCAGTTGCTAAACCAAGGGAGTTTTATCTTGACAGATAAAGCTATAGAAATTGTAGAAAGCATCTGATCCCGAAGGTGCCAGTTCTCCCATCTAATTTTCATCTGCTTCAGAGATGGAGTGGGATAGCTGATGCACTGCTAAACAAAGAAATAAAAGGACTAACCTCCATGCACAGCCCTTAGTGTTGACAATCACTTCCTAGTTGGCTGCTGTCTGGTTTTTAGCTTGACCCTCTCCAGGGAAGGGAAATTCAGTCCTTGCTGAAATGATGAGTCCACAACTGATCTCCTTAGGAAGTTGTGCCCACATTCATTTGCAGTCTGCTTCTCTGTAATTTAAAATGATTACTTTATGTCCTGTCCTCTGGGTTAATACAGAACAGGATATTTTTTTAGTTTGATTTATATCACCGTTGTTGTATAAAGGTATACTCTCCTATTTTTCCCACAGCAACTCTGCTGAGTTGAACTGAAGAGCAATTGCTTGAAATGTATTTAACCAAGTTGTGAAAATAAAATCAAGGAACATTTTATCTCTTGAAGGCCAAAGAAAGCATGAATATCAAATATTGGGGGTAAGGAGGTAAATATCCTGTATTATATTATTACTCTTTTGAAGTAAGCATCTGGGCATCTAAAATACTATTTAGTGTAAAACAAAAATGGCCCATCTAAAGGCTGTGTTTGCACAATAGGATAGTGTACAAGTTTAGTTTATGGCTTAGCGTCTTGTGTGAACTTGGGTAATTGGATCACTCAGTCAGCCATGAGACCATAATAGGTGACAAGAAACAGATAAAAAAAGGATATTTATATGGCCCATCCAGAGTTATTTTGTGAACTGTATGGCCACAGAAATTAAAGAAATAAAACCAAAATTCAGTCATTGGTGTCTCTTATTTGGACTAGACATGCTCAAGTTCTGGAAGACTGAGGCCAGCCAGTGGTTTTGTAAGTCCAGCCATAAAATACCATCTACAAATATTTCAATGGCTGTGTTCGAGACAACAGATGTAAACAAAATCAAATTAAGCAACAACAGTCATATTAAGCAAATTCATATTAATATATAAACTTGGAACATTGTGTAACATGGCCACTGTTTTATAAACATGGTTGATGGTATAGAGCAGAATTTTTCAAATTTGTCGGCTTTAAGATCAAACAAAGAGTAAAAGTGACCTTATCAGTGAGATAGGCAGCATACAAAATAAATAAATAAATAATGGCACTTTTCCCCATCATACTGTACAGGTAATCCTCAACAGTTCATTTAGTGACCATTCAAAGTTATAACAGCACTGAAAAAAGTGACTTATGACCATTTTTTTACACTTACAACCTTTGTAGCATCCCTATGATCATGTGATCAAAATTTAGATGCTTGGCAACTGGTTCATACTTATGACCATTGCTGTTTCCCAGGGTCATGTGATCACCTTTTGACAACCAGTCAACGGGGAAGCCGGATTCACTTAAACAGCCATAATAAAGTTGTAAGGGACCTTGGAGGTCATCTAGTCCAACCCCCTGCTCAGGCAGGAAACCCTATACCATTTCAGACAAATGGCTGTCCAGTCTCTTCTTAAAAACTTCCAGTGTTGGAGCATTCACCACTTCTTGGGGCAGGTTGTTCCACTGATTAATTGTTCTAACTGTCAGGAAGTTTCTCCTTAGTTCTAGGTTGCTTCTCTCCTTGATGAGTTTCCATCCGTTGCTCCTTGGCCTGCCTTCAGGTGCTTTGGAGAATAGCTTGACTCCCTCTTCTTTGTGGCAGCTCCTGAGATATTGGAACACTGCTATCATGTCCCCCCTCGTCCTTCTCTTCATTAAACCAGACATACCCAATTCCAGCAACCGTTCCTTATATGTTTCAGCCTCCAGTCCCCTGATCATCTTTGTTGCTCTTCTCTGTACTCTTTCTAGAGCAGGGGTCCTCAATTGTGGCAACTTTAAGACTTGTGGACTTCAACTCCCAGAATCCCTCAGCCAGCTTTGCTGGCTGAGGGATTCTGGGAGTTGAAGTCCACAAGTCTTAAAGTTGCCAAGGTTGAGGACCCCTGTTCTAGAGTCTCAACATCTTTTTTACATCGTGGTGACCAAAACTGGGTGCAGTGCTCCAAGTGTGGCCTTACTAGTAACTAACTTATCAACTGCAGTGATTCGCTTAACAATTGTGGCAAGAAAATGGGGCAAAGCTCACTTAACAAATGTCTCACTTAACAACATAAATTTTGGCCTCAATTGTGGTCCTAAGTCGAGGACTACCTGCATTCCGGAGCCTTTTTATTGGAGCGTTTTTTCCGGTGCTGCTGCTTTGCATTTCCCTGAACTGCAAATTAGGTATCAGATCCAAACACATTCTGGGAGCGCAGAAAAGGAGAGTTTTTTTTCCTTAATTTGTCGTGTTTCAAAAAAAAAAAAAAAAAAAAAAGGTCGGCAACCTTCTGTCCTCGGACTGCAAAACCCCTCCCAATGCATTCTGCGAATCATAAACGTGTCCTGCAATGCGTTGGGCGTGAGAGGCAGGAACTGTTTCCAAGCGCGCTCCGGGAATCGAGCAAACCCTCCCCGCGACCCGCACAGCAGCCTCGTCGTCCGAGTTCCCCGGGCCCGGAATTCCTGTCACGTGATCGCCAATCTTCGGCCAAGATCGGCTTTGATTGCGTCGCTCCCGTGACGTCATCCAAAAGAGACGAGCGGCAGATCGGGATAGAAGCGTTGGGTCGGGAGATAGCCGCCCGCTTCCAAGATGGCGGCGGGAGCCTGGAAGGTGAAGCAGGACATGCCGCCGGCGGGCGGTTATGGACCAATCGACTATAAGAGGCGATTGCCCTATCGGGGGCTCCCGGGTGAGGATGGGGAGATGGGGTCTTGAAACTCGGGTGCTGGGGTCTTCAGGAGACGGCTGGCTCTCGGTCCCTCGTCTAAGGTAGGGCTGGCTGTCTTGCTTTTGAATAAGCCACCATGGGCTGTGTTCACAGGCGGAGTCCAAGTCGTGCTTTTCCAACCGTTCACACGACACCCTAAACCTGTAAGATAAGCCTAGTCACGGCCCTTTCTTGCAGCTGTCAACCAATCGTGGCTTATTCAACAAGCCATGGTTGGGTGCACCCTTGCACAACATGCAAGGAATCTGAGGAGATGGATGGTAAGTTTGTGTGAGAGTTGGGGGTTCTCCACAGGTGATAAAGGAAATGGGGAGGGGGCACAGCCTTTCAACCGATTTATCTCATAGATCCCCATTAGAGCAGCTTCTGAAGAGGATCTCTTATTATCCTTCCCATTCAGCAGATTGTCCAGACTGGGTTCCTACACAGGTAGTCCTCAACTTACAACAGTTCATTTAGTAACTGAAATTACATTGGCACTGAAAAAAGTGCCTTATGATCGTTTTTCACACAACCCTTGCAGCATCCCTATGCTCACGTGATCAAAATTTGGCCGCTTGACAGCTAGCTCATATTTATGACGGTTGCACTGTCCCAGGGTCATGTGATCATTTTTTGAGACCTTCTGATAAGCAAAGTCAATGGGGAAGCCTGATTCATTTAACAACCGTTTTACTAATTTAAGTGCAGTGATTCACTTAACAGTTGTGACAAGAATGGTCACTGAAGAGCTGTCTCACTTAGCAACAGCAGTGTTGTGCTCCATTGTGTTTGTAAGTTGAGGACCGCCTGTAAAATAGTCAACGATGAAAAACTGCAATGGGGTCATGGAATCAGCAAGCAGGAATCTCCCTGAACTTCATGTCTAAAGAAAAAAAAGCAAGGTGTCCTCATGACTTTTGAAACCCTTGGAGCTTTTTTTTCTTGTTTTACTGTTACAGTTATTAATAATAATAATAATAATAATAATAATAATAATAATAATAATAAAGTTGGAAGGGACCTTGGAAGTCATTTAGTCCAACCCGCTGCTCAGGCAGGAAACCCTATACCATTTCAGACAAATGGCTGTCCAGTCTCTTGGTGGTTGCTAATAAACATGAGGATTCCATTTTGCTTTTTCTAGGTTATGGCCTTCTTGCCATTGGACTTGGGGCTTTTGTTTTTGGCTCTTATGTTGTTTTCAGATGGAACTGGGAGAGAAGGTAAGTTTGCAATCGTTCCCTTCATTTAATTGGCCCGAAAAATATGCTTGACAGTCTCAGGCTGCCTTTGCTCAGCACATTAACCCATACAGTGGTTTGTCTGGGTTTTGTTCCGTGCACGTGGCACTCGGCTAATTGTGATTTATTCCTTAATCCATGATACACATTTAATCAACAGATCAAGTTGTATATGGAGAATTTTGATATACTGATGAAAACCGTTATGTGGAGAAGTTTCGTATTCCAGGGCAGAGAACGTGGAAGTAGCATCCACAGAACACCTGGCTGTTTTGCCACCTCCTACTGTATGGATGCTGAAGGGACTCGGAAGGATGAACTTTTTATGTTCTTGCTTTAAACTGGGATAAGGAATGTTCCTTCTTCCTGGGTGTTCTGGATAAGGTTGCGGTTGTGTTGGAGGAAAGCAAGTACAGTATAGACTTGGGATGTTTTATAGCTCAATGTTTTCTATGCTCCTCCGTTTTTCAGACTGGTTTCTTTCTCATTTCAACCTAGAAATGCCAGGATTTGAATCTGACGCCTTCTGAACAACTATCCTTTTAGCACTGCATGTTGTTTCCCATCCTGGTGCCTTAAACTATGCTGGGAGGGATTTTGTGAGTTGGCATCCACCAATTTTGGAAGGGATCAGATGGAGGACTCTCCTGTAATAGTCTCAGATTCTCCAGAAGTGGAGATAAGAATTCCCAAGTTCTTAGAGGACCTGGATGGTGCGCACAAGTTTTATTTCCTCTTTATTGAAGGGTGAATGAGATCTCCTGTTTTTTCCAACCCTGGTAACTTTAATATGTTTGGGTTTCAGTTCCCAGCGCCCCCAGAACTAATATGGGTGGACTTTCAATATGGGTGGAATTCTTCATCCACCATGCTAGAAGTTGAAGTCCATACATCCTAAAGTTGCTGAGGTTGGGAAACACTATGTTACAGGAACTGGAAACCAGTTTTGTCCTAGCACGTTTTTATGGGTCACCTTCCTGCTCTTTTCCCGCCTTTTCTAGACAACACGCCTTTGAGGACATGGAAGCCCGGATAGCAATGATGCCTCTCTTAATGGCTGAAGACGACCGAAGGTAGGTTCAGCTTTCTAGGCCTGGGTGCCGAGAGACTTTTACCTCCTTTATTCCTTTGGTCTAAGCCAGTGTTTCTCAGCAACTTTAAGATGTGTAGACTTCAACTCCCAGAAGACTCCAGCCAGTCAGGTTGGTTGGGGATTTCTGGGAGTTGAAGTCCATCTTAAAGCAACTGAGGTTGAAAAACCCTGGTCTAGGCAGAAAGCAGATTTTTCACTTCCCCAAGCGGATCTATTGTCCTTCCGTTAACTGTTGCCCGCTTCCAAAATACTAAGAAACTTGAGTTCTTCAAATACAGGTAGTCCTTGACTCACAACCATTCATTTAGCGACCGTTCACAAGTTACAACAGCATTTTAAAAAAGTGACTTATGGCCAGTTTTTCCCCCTGGAGAAAATCTATCTACGTGGTTGCTAAGAATCAACATTGATTTGATGGTGCCTTATCAAATGATGGGTGCAAACTGAATTAAGATGACAATTCACTGGGAGGCACAAGATTTAACCCTTTCTGAATGCAAAGAGATTTTTTTCTCTCTCTCTTAATTGTCAAGGACTTGACAGAAAAGCTATTTTTTTCTCTGGGGTGGTTCTTAGTGGGCAAATCTAGAAGAGTATAAGTGTTTGGTGAACTGCTTGCAATTATGGACAGCAGCTAAGCTGCCAAGAACCCAAGAGTTGAACTTTATAGATAGCCTTCGATTTACAATCACAATTGGGACTAGAACGTCTGTTGATAAGCAATGCAGTGAGCTGTGTTTGATTTTAAAATTTGTGTGTCTGTTTACTCCTCCCCAAGCAAGGAGAGTGATAAGGACAGCAACCCATCCCTTAGCACATAATCTGAACTGACAAAGTGTTTCAAATAAATTTGTTAAGTGCAACAGCTAAGTGGGCCTACAGCATTTAAGCCATAAACGAGGAACAACAAAATAACACAGACTACCTGAAATTCCCCGATGGCGGCTGCAGAAGCCCAAATTTAACAACAACAACAAAAGCTTGCCAGATGTTATGTTATTCCCATGAGAATATTAAAGTACAGATACGTCTCGACCTATGAACATAATTGAGGCTCAGATTTCCATTGCTAAGCAAGACAGTTGTGAAGTGAGCTTGGCCCCATGTTACGACCTTTTTTTGCCACAGTTGTTAACCAAATCGCTGCAGTTGTTAAGTTAGTAGCACAATTGTTAAGTGAATCTGGCTTCCCCCTTGATTTTGCTTATCAAAAGGTCACCAAAGGTGATCACGTGACCCCGGGACACTGCAACCATCATCAATACATGCCGGTTGCCAAGCATCCGGATTTTGATCACGTGGCAGCATGGGGGTGCTGCCATGCTTGTTAAGTACCCTTTTTCAATGCCCTTGCAACTTCAAACAGTCACTAAACAAATGGTTGTAAGTCAAGGACTACCTTTATTGCAGGATTTGGTAAGGTTTTTAAAGTTAAGTGTCTGTGCAAGATCATATACTCCCAAAATAAGACCGGGTCTTATATTAATTCTTGCTCCAAAAAACGCATTAGGGCTTATATTCGGGGAAATACAGTACTAAATGCGTCCGTCTTAACTGGGGCTTATTTTTGGGGTGGAACTTATATTACAAGCATCCTGAAAAATCACGCTAGGCAGGGCTTATTTTCTGGTTGGGTCTTATTTTCAGGGAAACATGGTAGTGATGGTCCCCAGCACATTAAAATAATTACAGGCCAGAGGGACCGGGTTTACTGAAACTCTGAATCCAGCCCCATATGGTTTTGTGTAAGGACTAAATTTGGCCAGAGGTAGGAATTCATTTGCATAAATACCCAGGATGCCTCATTCCTCCCCACACTCTCTGCATATACGGGCAGCCCTTAACTTACGACTTATTGCTGCTGTAACAGACCCCGAAAAAGGGACTTACAACTTGGTTTCAAAGTTCCAACATCAGCACCCCCCACCCACCCCCCCACCCCCCCGCAGTCACATAATAGCCATATTTTGTGCCCTCCGCATCTAGCCTGCATTTACGGGCATTTTCAGTGTCCCACCGTCACATTATTGTGATTTGCGACCCTTTTGCTGGAAGAAAAACAGCATTTGCTTGCAGTTTACCGCAAAACCCAATCCATGGTGAACGATGGGTTATTTCAGTGATGGCGAACCTTTTAGAGACCGAGTGCCCAAACTGTAACCCAAAACCCACTTATGCATCGTCGAGTGCCGGGTGGGTGTGGCCCATCTGGTGGACGTGACAGACTGGGTGGGACTAAAAAGTTCAATCAATCAATTCCCACTTGGCAAAATCTTTTTTTTTTTCCTGCGAGAAGTTGAAATTGACAATCTTTTTTTTTTTTTTTTTTTTGCACATGGCGACGGAGGCCTAAAGCAAAAAGGTTTTATAAAACCCAGCTGAAGGCCTAGGACTGGGGCAACGGTGCGTGTGCCCACAGAGAGGGCTCTGAGTGCCGCCTCTGGCACCCGTGCCATAGGTTCACCACCACTAGGTTATGTCATGATCAGTTGTTCACTTAATGACTGCTGTGTTCTCCTAAATGACCACTGCGAAACAGTTTATAAAATTGAGTCCGGTCAAATGGTGACCCCCTTTATAACCGTCACAACTTAATGGCCGTAATTGCCAGGCTGAATTACTCGAGGGCCACCTGAATGTGAGTCAGATCATCCGGATTTTCTCTCTTATCTACTTTTATCTCTCTCTCTCTCTTGTGGAAGGACACTGCGCCTCTTGCGTCATAATTACGATGAGGAAGCCAAGATCATGAAAGACGTCCCTGGCTGGCAGGTTGGAATCTTTGGCAATTTTGAAATAAAAGGAATTTCTTTTTCCTCCTGTTGCACCCCACATTTTTCCTCTCCCCCACTTCTTAACCCTTGGCCGCCCCTCCCTTGTGAAGCCTTTCCCTACACAGCTATAATATAGGGCAGGGGTCTCCAACCTTGGCAACTTTAAGACTTGTGGACTTCAACTCCCAGAATTCCTCAGCCAGCTTAGGCTTTGGCGGGTTTTCTAACAAACCGCCCTACCCTCTTCTCCCCAGTGAGTGACCTTGGTTTCCACGGGACACAATATTGTTTAGACTAACCGAGATACTCCGTTCCCCCTCCCTTTCGTGTGGCCACTTAGAATGAGCAAGATGGCTGCAGCCAGGTTCGTTGTAGAGCTGACATTGTCGTTAAGTGAATCTGGCTTCCCGCATTGACTTTGCTGGCTGGGAAGTTTGCAGACTCACGATTGAATGACAGTGGGATGCTGCAATCATTCTACATACATCCCAGTTGCCAAGTGCCCAAATTCTGATCATGTGACCCCAGGGAAATGCTGCAGTGGTCAATAAGTGCAAGGACTGGTCGTAAGCCATTTTTTTGCAGTGTCGTAACTTTGAACGGTCACTAAACAAGTGGTTAGAAGTCGAGGACTACTTGTAGTAAGCAGTGGGGTTAAATAGATCATTCCATAGGCAGGCAGCCCCTCCCCTTTGCAAGATCCCTACTGGGTGATGCAGGAATAGCTCCGGACTGGCTGGCCTTGGAGCATCCAGGCATTTCCCCCGCTGTTCCTCCTTTGGTGCCTGGTCTTTCTCTTATGAAGAGGGGACATGATGCAGGAGTCGGGACTTCACTTTGCAAGCTACAGTTTCAAAACGGGAGGGGAGACAGCGACGAAACTGTGGATCTGGTCCTTGCTTAAATTTGCTGCAGAGTTCTTTGCTTATATCGATGGGAGTTGCTAAGTTAGTAGCATGGCAGTTAAGTGAATCTGGCTTCCCCCATTGACTTTGCTTGTCAGAAGGTCACACACACCTGAGCCCAGGACATGGCAAACATCATAAGATACATGCCAGTTGCCAAATGTCCGAATTTTGTTCACGTGACCATAGGGGTGTTGCAACGGTCATTAAGTGTGAAAAACGCTAGATAGATAGATAGACAGACAGACAGACAGACATGTAGGTAGGTAGGTAGGTAGGTAGATGTGCATGGATGGGTGGGTGGGTGGGTAGGTAGGTAGGTAGATAGATAGATAGATAGATAGATAGATAGATAGATAGATAGATAGATAGATAGATAGATAGATAGATAGATAGATAGATAGATAGATAGATAGATAGATAGATAGATAGGATGGATAGATAGATAGATAGAGAGAGAGAGAGAGAGAGAGAGAGAGAGAGATGTGCTTAGATAGATAGATAGATAGATAGATAGATAGATAGATAGATAGATAGATAGATAGATAGATAGATAGATAGATAGATAGATAGATAGATAGATAGATAGATGTGCTAGAATGGATGGATAGATAGATAGATATGGATGGATGGATAGATAGATAGATAGAGCACAATAACACATTAGAAATGAAATTTAGTTGCTTGCTCTCAAAGTGTACTCATACATAACACACATTTAAACATGCTATATACAACATATGTGTAGAGTGCAGACCTACATCATTACATATAAGTAACATATAAATATTAATCACTGTCCATCTTGAATGCATAACGGATGGAGGAAACTTTATAGAGTTCACAAGGTTAATACTGTATGGAACAAAACTGTGACTGAATCTGGATGTTCTGTTTCGGATATTATTATCATTTATTTGATTTTTATCCTGCCTTTATTATTGTTTATAAATAACTCAAGGAGGCCAGCATACCTCCTTCCTTCTCCTAATTTCCCCACAGCAACAATGCTGTGAGGTGGATTTCTGCTGGCCCAAGGTCACCGAAACGGTTTTCGTGCCTAAGGCGGGACTAGAACTCAACCTCTCCTGGTCATTGGTCCAAAGTCATCCAGCTCTAAGGCGGGACTAGAACACAACCTCTCCTGGTCATTGGTCCAAAGTCATCCAGCCCTAAGGCAGGACTAGAACTCACGGTCTCCTGTTCCTAAGTTACCACCTTAACCACTAGACCGGGGTAGTCAACCTTGGCTCTTTTATGACTCGTGGACTTCAACTCCCAGAATTCTTGAGCCAGCTAAGCTGGCTCAGGAATTCTGGGAATTGAAGTCCACGAGTCATAAAAGAGCCAAGGTTGACTACCCCTGCACTAGACCAAACTGGCTTTTCTTCCTGAGTATTGGCTGACCTGTTCTCTCTCTCTTCTCCCAGGTTGGGGAGTCTGTCTATCATACCACACGCTGGGTGACCCCCAGAGCTGACGAGCTGTACTTCCTTCAGCCATCCAAAGTTCAGAAAGATGTCTTCTTAGGCTACACCTGGAGCACATAAGCAGACGGGTTGTGGAAGGACCCACCTCTCTCACTTTCCCAAGATGGAACACATTTCTTAATAAACTATTGCTCTCTGGAGCATCGATCCATTGCTGGCTGCCTTTGTCTTTTCTGCCTTCTCCTCTTCCATTTTGCCGATTATTTTATTGCCATACATAGTTAGCAAAAGAAACCAAACGAGAAATAGACAACCATCAACGTGCGTCACGAAAACAATGACAACCTCCAACTTTATCCCAACAAATGCATCAAAAAAGGTTTCTGTAGAAAAATTGGCAAACGAATAGAGACAACTTTACTCTTGGTATTAAAAAAAAATGTATTACGATTGTTTAATGGTGAAATCGCCAAACCAGCTGATGCTTTCCACTTTTGCCGTTCTTGATTACGTTGCACTTCAACCAAATCTGAACACTCTTTGTACATCCTCCGAGAAGCCGTGTAATTTGTGGGTTGCAACATACAACGTAGATATTTTTTTAAAAAATTATTTATACCCTGCCTTTATTATTTTTAATAAATAACTCAAGGCGGTGAACATACCTAATACTCCTTCCCTCTCCTATTTTCCCTACAGCAACCCTGTGAGGTAGGCTGGGCTGAGAGTATGACTGACAATCGCTTGCTTTTCTTCTAGACCAGGGGTGTCAAACTCGCAACGTCACGTGACATGTCGTGACATATCACAACTTTTTCCCATTGCCGGCAATGGGGTGGGCATGGTTTCACTATGATGCATCCAGCCTGCAGGGCCGGCAGTTTGACCTCCCTGTTCTAGAAGGAAGTTGGAAGATGAGGTAGGGGTGATTTTCTCCTCAAACTTCCTGTCCAGGGTCCAAACCACTGCAAGATAAATAAAAAGAGAATATTTGTAACTCAGGATTAAACGGGCAGGGGACAGGGTTTGTTGGTACTCTCTGAGCTTGGCTGTTCACTTGCAGACATTTCGTTACCAATCTGGGTAACATCATCCGTGCAGTGTGCCTTCACAGGTTCTCGGGAGGTCCAGTAATTTCAAGCCAAAACATCCAGATAGAGTGCACTTAGCTAACCTTTCACTATTTCCTTAGACTTCGGGAGAAAGATTCATCCACATGAGAGCAGATGTTGAAAAAATCCCTTTCTTGAGTGGAAAACAGTATTAAAGGAGAAACAGTCTTACTGGTGATATCAACAACTTTTTCTAAGACTAGTGTGGTTCGGAAGCAGGAGCCACCACCTCAAATTATATTGCATGCCCTAAGATAGGCTTAACACTTGTTATTTTAGCAGTCTCCAAAATTTTCCAAAACTTGGGAGAGGAGAGAAATCCCAGCCCTGCCTGTGATGTAACACGGCTTTCTTCATTGGTTGCGTTGGGACTTTTTCCCCTGCACCCCGTCTCCACTGTTCAGTTCCTCCCAGGACTACCAAAAGATCAACTTGTTTTATGTACAGGTAGTTCTCGACTTACAACCATTTGTTGAGTAACCATTCAAAGTTATTACAGCACCCAAAAAAAGTGACTTATGACCATTTTTCACACAACCGTGGCAACATCCCCGTGGTCACAAATTCAGATGCTTGGCAAGTGGCTCATCTTTATGACGGTGACGGTGTCCCAGGATCACTGGATCATCTTTTCGCGACCTTCTGACATGCAAAGTCAGTGGGCAAATTGGATTCACTTAACACCTGTTACTAACTTAATGACTGAAGTTATTGACTTGACTGTGGCAAGAAAGGTCATAAAATGGAGCAAAACTCACTTAGCAACTGTCTCACTTGGCAACATAAATTTGGGGCTCAGTTGTGGTCATAAGTCGAGGACTACCTATAATTGGGAACATACACACACACACACACACACACACACACTCCCCACAGCATTCTATGAAATTTAGGTGTCAACCTTCAGCTCAAGTATCCAAATAAAGTCCAGAATCACTTGCATTTCTGAAAAACGTACTGGTTTATTGAATATACAGCATGGTATATAGGCCAGGGGTAAGGAACCTTGGCTCTTTTATAACTTGTGACTTCAATGCCCAGAATTCCTGAACCAGCCATGTTGACTCAGGAATTCTAACCCCAATGAAATCTTTAGGGCTTTATCGGATGTGATGTGATTAAGACAGTTTCCAAAATAATTGTAAAAAAACATGGTAAGAAATAAAACAAGACCTTGAAAGATTGAAGAGCTGAAAAATTTCCTGGCGAGGACTTATACCACAATAGTACTGTAAACGTGAATATATTACCCAAGATAATTTAATTAATTAATGAGTTAAAATCCCACTTCAAATGTGTGAGAGGACCGGTTGCCTGCAAAATGGCTAGCACCTGGGTTGCTTGTGCCCTGTCCCTTTAAGACAGGGGTCTTCAAACTTGGCCCTTTTATGACTTGTGGACTTCAATGCCCAGAATTCCTGAACCAGCCATGTTGACTCAGGAATTCTGGGAGTTGAAGTCCACCAGTCATAAAAGAGCCAAGGTTGCCGACCCCTGGTATAGGCGAAGGAAAACTAACTCTAAAATCCCAAGACATCTAACCAAAACATAGAACAATAACATTTCCAGCCAAAACTCCCAGATGTCCACATAGTTCATGGGAACACCTCGTTGTTTTGAGAACCTTCTGGTATTTTCTCCACAGTGATTAGAATGTCCTTGAGAAGTTTCCATACATCTTCGTCTCAACAAACGTCTGCAGAACTGGGGAGGTTTTGTTTCTCTAACTAACCCATTTGAAGTCTGATCTCCCTTCCCCTTACTCTAACAACAAGATGAAAATAATAAGGCACGTAGCTGCCAAGTTTTCACTCTTGACTGTTAGATCTGATTCTTGGAAATTAGTGCATCCAAAGCCACATTGCTTTAAGTCAGGGCTTTTCAACCTTTTCACCCACTGTACCACTTTTAGGATATGGCAACATCCGAGTACCACCAGTCACCTAGCAAGGTGTCAAAAACTTGATGACCAAAAAAAAAAAGGGGAAAAAGTGATAAAGTACAGGTGGTCCTCGACTTACAACAGTTCGCTTAGTGACTGTTCGAAGTTACAATGGCACTGAAAAAAGTGCCCCCCAAGCCACAGCCGAGCAAGACACCTGCCTGCCTGCCCGGCCACGCTCTTCCTCGTCTCCGAGGTTTTCATTGTTGTGAGCATTTCTGTTGAGGATTGGCAACAGGGGTGGGGGGGTGGGGGGTTTTGGTTTTTATTCCTCCTGTCTGCTGGATGGTTGCAGCAGGTTTTGGTCACTTCACATGACCCTGGGACACTGTGACCGTCATAAATATGAATCAGTTGCCAAGCATCTGAATGTAAATCACGAGGCCCTGGAGATGCTGCAACATTCCAGCTGATCGGTGCTTCTTCTGGGCTCAGAAGTGCCAGGATCAGCACCGAGCTCCAGCTGGAGCCTGGCGCTGATCTTGGTGCTTCCGCTGAGCCTGACAGCCCTGCAGCTCCAGCCATCTCTCGCTCAGGCTTGTGTGGTGCTGCCACCGGTTCAGCTCATTCCCCTCCCCCGCTACTTTTCTAGGATGGTCGCGTACCACCTGCCAGGTGCCAATGTACCACAGGTGGTACCTGTACCACTGGTTGAAAAGCCCTGCTTTAAGTGTTGCCTCTCGTCATAGTGGGAACTGGTGATGGTGTTTGTCTAAGAATCCAGGCTCCAGAAAGGACCGCTCTTTTGCCTAATCCAACAGGATTCTTCTAATGGAAAGGTAGCAGTTTAAGGTCCTGGGGGGACCTGTAACACACCTGTGCCTTGAGGAACACTGCTGTGATTCCCAATCAGTCTAATTAACCTGTTCTTGGCAGTCTCCATATCAGTGACATCAAAGGCCTTCTGCCCCACGTCTGCTTTCCCATGTGTCCAGGGCTGAATCTGAGGAAGCTCCAGGAAGTCCTTCTGGTTCTCCCTGAAAAGCAGTGGGGGACGGGGGGGGGGGGAAGGGAGAGAGAATTTGTGGGAGGCAATTCATACAATTGTCCCTATTCTTTTTACTGTAGATGTAGTCCTCGACTTACAACTGTAATTGAGCCCAGACACGGCCATAAGTTGTTAACCAGGTCACCATGTGACTGCACCCAATTTTCCTACCATTTTTTTTTTTTTTGCAGCAGCAGTCATTAAGTGAATCACCATGACTGTTAAGCGAATGTGGTGGATGTTAAATGAATCTATTGTCCAGTGGGTGTTTTTTTTTTGTTGGAGACTGAAAATAAACATCCATCTGGCCCAAAAAAACAAAAAACAACCCTCCGTAAAGCACAATCACGTGACCCTGAGATGCTGCAAAGAGGCATAAATGAGGACCAGTTGCTGAGCATCCAAAACGTGGTCACATGATCGTGTGTGGGGGACAAGTGCTGAAACTATGATTCTGGCTCGTAAGTCTCCCTGGGGAGGTCTGTTGTAATTTGAACAGTTGCTAAGTAGCCAGTCGTAAGTCGAGGATTACCCATAATATTGTCGCTTTGCCAATTCCGTCCCAAAGAGAATTCACCTTGCAAATCGGAGCAGAACAAAGTGGTTGCATTTCACACAGCCTCCTGTTTTCGCAGGGGCCCATCAGAGTCCTCCTGGATGCAGGGGTGTCCACGGCGTGCGATTTAAAAAGTAGAGACGGACAGGACAAGACAGTTCAAGCTTTGCACATTTTTATGGGCTTCTTCCTTTTTTGGGATCCCAAAGGTGCTTTTCCAGAAGCAACTGGATTTTCTTGATTTTTTTTTTTAAACGTTTCGCTTCTCATCCAAGAAGCTTCTTCAGTTCTGACTGAATAGTGAGGAGCTGTATCAGAACTGGAGAAGCTTCTTGGAAGAGAAGAGAAACGTTTTTCAAAGAAAAAAGCCAAGGAAATCCACTTGCCTTATGGAAAAGCGCCTTTGGAACCACCATGACCTGGATGGTTGGGAATCTCCATAGACACCCCTTTTGGGAACATACCCTGTGGGCATTGTGTGCCAGGGAGAGCCAGCCTGTGGATGATGGAACAACAGGTCCAGGATAAGTAATGGAAGATGGGGCTGGAGGAGACTGCTGGAATAACTGCTTCAAACAAACAGACAGGATTACTGTTCAGCCTGCAGAAAAGT